GTTAAGTCGTAGCCTATTTTATGATGTTTTTGCCACAGTTGTCAGGCAAATCACTCTAGTTCTTAAGTGAGTCATGCTGTCAGGAAGCGAATCTAGCTTACCCCGTTGACTTTGCTTGTCTGAAGCTGGTTGGGAAAGTTGCCCAGGATGACCTCATGACCCTCCAGGATGCTGCAATTGTCATAAATACATGCCAGTTGCTAAGCGCCCAAATTTGGATCAAGGGACCCCCGGGGATGCTGCAACAGTTGTAAGTGCAAGGACCTGTCGTAAGTCACTTTTGCTATGGCTGTTGTAACTTCGGTGGTCACTAAATGAAGTGCTGTAAGTCTCTGAGCTTGGTGGTTTCCTTGCAGATGTTTCATGGCCCAACTAGGTAACTTCAATGCAGTGAAAAGTCTGCAAGAAAATCAGCCAGTTCAGAGAGCACCAAGGACCCCACTAGCCGTGTTTCTTCTCTACAACTGTTTTCCATGCATCTTGACAGTTCCTGACGAATTTCCTGATAGAGAGAACAATAAATCAGTGGAATGGCTTGCCTTCTGAAGTTGTGGGTGCTCCACGACTGGGGTTTTGAAGAAGAGATTGGACAACCATTTGTCTGAAATGATACGGGGTCTCCTGCTTGAGCAGAGGGTTGGACTAGAAAACCTCCAAGGTCCCTTCCAACTCTTATTATTCTGCTTCTGGGTTGAGCTGGTAGGTGGGAAGTAAGGACCAGGACCCCAAGTTGGAGAAAGGGAAGAAAACCACATGATTAGGAATTTTAACCTGCAGGTGGGAGGGATATAGTGGGACGGGGGACTCTCCTAGTTAAAAATGACACCTGGACAAAAGATGAAAAGGCTGTGGGAGAACCTAGTCCTTTCCTTCCAACTTTATAATGCAGGGTTCCCCGCCATCCAGCTGAGAGACCAGGAGGGCCCCATCCTTGAGGGCAACAATGTGACTCTGGAATGCCTGATCAGCGATGGGGACAATGCGTCGGACTTCACCTTCCAAAAATATAGCAAGGTAGGTTAATTGAGGAATTTGCTTTGGCCATCTAAGAAGCAAGCCTCTGTTTGGAATGGAATGGGAATGGAATGGAATGGAATGGAATAGCAGAATAGAATAGAATAGAAATAGAAATAGAAAGGGAATAGGAATGGAATAGAATGGAATGGAATGGAATGGAATGGAATGGAATAATAGAATAGAATAGAATAGAATAGAATAGAATAGAATAGAATAGAAATATAGAAATAGAAATATAGAAATAGAAAGGGAATAGGAATGGAATGGAATGGAAAATATGGAATAGAATAGAATAGAAAATATGGAATGGAATGGAATGGAAAGGAAAATATGGAATAGAATAGAATAGAAAATACGGAATGGAATGGAATAGCAGAATAGAATAATAGAATAGAATAGAACAGAAAGAATAGAATAGAATAGAATAGAATAGAATAGAATAGAATAGAATAGAATAGAATAGAATAGAAATAATAGAAATAGAAATAGAATAGAGGAATGGAGTGGAATGGAATAGAATAAAATAGAAATAGAATAGAGGAATGGAGTGGAATAGAATAGAATAGAATGGAATGGAATGGAATGGAATAGAAATAGAATAGAGGAATGGAGTGGAATAGAATAGAATAGAATAGAATAGAATAGAATAGAATAGAATAGAAATAATAGAAATAGAAATAGAATAGAGGAATGGAGTGGAATGGAATAGAATAGAATAGAAATAGAATAGAGGAATGGAGTGGAATAGAATAGAATAGAATAGAATAGAATGGAATGGAATGGAATAGAAATAGAATAGAGGAATGGAGTGGAATAGAATAGAATAGAATAGAATAGAATAGAATAGAATAGAATAGAATAGAATAGAATAGAATAGAAATAATAGAAATAGAAATAGAATAGAGGAATGGAG